ATGAAAAAGGATGTCAAGTTTAGTGACAAAATTAATAATTTAACCTGAATAATGTATTTCTATCATTTCTTCAGATAGGTAAGATGCTTTAATTAAGTAGTCTTAAATCACCATATATGATATATCTTGATGCTTGATTATAATTCTACATATAAAATATTTTACGGCAGGGCAACCTTGCCATGTTGTTATGGTATTAGTTATTTTAACTAATATGGATTTTCTATGAAATTTGAGTAATAATTAAAAAAAAATTTGACCTCGTTGACTGGTTGTGGCTTTATAATAGGATTGCCCATTTTTGAAATTTAATCTAGTTGCCCTGTTTTATGTATTTGGTATTGACTCTTGTTAAAATGGTTTTAAGATGTTGACTATAGTATGCTAGTCCATTTGTTTGATGTTTAAGCCGTTGGTGCATAAACCTTGGCATGTTTAAAAAAGTGAGATGATTCCTGAATTTTCTCGTATAATCAGGGAAAATTATCTGTCTTTCTGGTCCACCTGGAGTGGGAAAAACAAGTATTGGCCGTTCAATTGCACGTGCCTTGAACCGTAAGTTCTTCCGATTCTCTGTAGGAGGATTAGCTGATGTGGCTGAAATCAAGGTAGCTAAAGTCTCTGTTTCTTTGCCACAGTTGAATTATATAAACCAGTCTAATGCAACATAAGTGGTAAGCTTTTGAGTCATCAATATTTTATTTTACAGGGTCATCGTCGAACCTATATCGGTGCTATGCCTGGGAAGATGGTACAATGCCTTAAGAATGTGGGCACGGCCAACCCCCTTGTTTTGATTGATGAGATTGACAAAGTAATACATCACTAAACGGTTCAATTTTTTTGGCCAAGTAATTTTTTTTTCTGATTTCCTGTTCTATTCTATGTTGGTACAGGTTGTCCTGGCCTTAATAAATATAATGCTTGCATTTCAGTTTCATTAAATTTTACTGTGGTTTTAAATCTTGTAAATCTTCCATAAAAATGCTGATTTTAGTATTAATGTTTGTTTTATTAAATTGGTAGTTGGGCAGAGGACATGCTGGTGATCCAGCAAGTGCTTTGTTAGAGCTTCTGGATCCAGAGCAGAATGCTAATTTTCTGGACCACTATCTTGATGTTCCCATTGATCTATCAAAGGTATTTATTTTTTATAATCTGGAGCCTTGATAGTGAGTTTGTGGTATAGTCAGCATTTGTGCATGGTTTATTCATTGTGTTAATGGCTAGTTCTTAGAATGGTCAAACAATTATTGAATGTATAGTTTTCATTCAGTTCCCTGGAGGCAAAGTTGGTTTGTTTTTACCATAATTACTTATGCATTGGAAATCTCACTGCAGGTTCTTTTTGTTTGCACTGCTAATGTAGTGGAAATGATACCTAATCCCCTGTTGGATCGGATGGAGGTTGTTGCGATTGCTGGGTATATTACTGATGAGAAAATGCATATTGCTAGAGATTATCTGGAGAAGACTACTCGTGAAACTTGTGGAATAAAGCCTGAACAAGTACTTATCTTTGCTACCTTTTTTGTGGTCCCTTCTCCAGGAGAGAATGGGATATTCGAAAGTGTTATTGCAAGCATAATGATGCCAGATTTTATTGCCTTGCTGAAAATATTGACTTTACCTTGCTTCAGGTGGAAGTGACTGATGCTGCTCTTCTTGCCCTAATAGAAAATTACTGCCGAGAAGCAGGGGTCAGAAACCTTCAAAAGCACATAGAGAAAATTTACCGAAAGGTCTGTTAAGGTTTTTTCCCCCAATACAGTCAACTTTTTGTTACTGACAGTGAAAAAGACTATTCGGTGTGTATTGTTTAAAAGACAACCATTCATGATTTGTTGTTTTCCATTTGTTTGGCTGCATTAGTTTATTACTGCATCAGAATTTGAATATAGTAAATACTTCAGTTACCTTTGAGTAAAAAAGTTGTGGTTGTTTCATGGCAGATAGCGCTACAACTTGTGAGGCAAGGGGAAATGATTGATGCGACCGTTAGTGCTCAGAATATGGAACCAATAAAAGACAAAGTAGACTCTGATGAATTGGGTCAAAATACAGTTCAAAAAGAGAACTCCGAAGTGGTGGAGGGTAGTAATCCTGAAGAAGTGGGTGAAACTTCTGATGAAGTTGACAAGGAGGAATCAAATCTATCATCTGATCAATCTCAGTCTCTCGAGGTAGTTTAGCGTACATTCAAGTTCTCATAAAAAAAATTGATCTTTGATACATGTGCATTTTGTGTTGTACCTGCTCTTCTTTGACCGCCGTAGAACCTTGTTTTGTACAAAAGTTTTCAACTGATCATAAAGTATGTGCGCAAACTTCAATAGTTTGATATTTTTTCCTGTGAAACCTAATAACTATTTTTTGGGGTCCAATAACCACTGGTTCATTTATTTGATATAATATTATATATGGATCTTAATTTTGTCAGGTTGCAAAAGAAAGTGAGGATGATAAGGAAATTGAAACCAAGACTATCGAAAAAGTATTGGTTGATAAATCTAATCTAGCTGACTTTGTTGGCAAGCCTGTCTTCCATGCTGAGCGCATCTATGATCAGACACCTGTCGGTGTTGTTATGGGTCTTGCCTGGACTGCAATGGGTGGTTCCACGCTGTATATAGAGACCACACTTATTGAAGAAGGGGAGGGAAAAGGAACACTGAATCTCACTGGTCAATTAGGAGACGTGATGAAAGAAAGTGCTCAGATAGCTCACACAGTTTCCAGAGCAATACTAATGGAAAGAGAACCAGAAAATCCATTCTTTGCAAATTCAAAGCTACACCTCCATGTCCCAGCAGGGGCTACACCAAAGGACGGACCAAGTGCTGGTTGCACTATGACCACTTCACTATTGTCCCTTGCCATGAAGAAGCCTGTGAAGAAGGATCTAGCAATGACTGGGGAAGTAACACTTACGGGGAAGATTCTTCCCATTGGCGGGGTATGTTGAGAAATACCTTCTATTGCAATATTATTGTTCGTAATTTGTGATGCAGAAACTTCTGATCATCTTTAGATGTTATTGGCTTTCAAGTTACAAAATTTTTTGTTTTAAAAGGGGATTTCCTTGATGAGTTGGTCCCCTGCTTTCAGTATGCACCAACAAATTACATTAAGAATAAAGAAACAAAATTCCCTAGTAAGGGTTGCCTGGTCAACAAATTTATTCATCAAAAGCTACCTCAAAATTTTGTGCTGTATATTCTTTTGTCCGAAACTGTTGGTCATGCAATGCTGTGAAAATTGCAGGTTAAAGAGAAAACCATAGCTGCAAGGAGGAGCGAAGTTAAGACTATTATATTCCCTTCAGCTAACAGGAGAGATTTTGACGAGCTAGCACCTAATGTGAAAGAAGGTCTTGATGTTCATTTTGTTGATGACTACATGCAGATCTTTAATTTGGCTTTTGTTGATGAGCAGTCTCAGAATACAAAGTAAGTCACTAATGCCCTGTAGGATCTTGAGATGAAAATTGATTCTTTGTTGAGCTGGGAACCAGCTGAATTTTGTACTGTATTAGTACCGATGGTTTTCGGAGTTTTTATTCATCTCTTGGGCTCAAGGCTGAGTATCATTGTCTTTCTTCAGATGTCACAATTGTAATAACATGTATATTTATATTTGACGGGATGCATTTTCTTTTTAGTTTTATATTTTTTGCTGAGGCAGGGCCAGGGAGTGTTCATACTCGAGGGAGGATATTCTATAATATATACAATAATACAAGACAACTTTCAAATTTTTGTTTTTGATAGTTACACAAACACGGTGGGAATGAAGAATAATCCTCAATAGGATTATTCCATTTAATATTTTTTTTTTAATTGGATTCATATATCTCTCTATATGTGTCTTCACGTGCCGTATCTTAAAATCTAGTTTTGTTTTTATCCTCTGAGGTATCTATTTTTAATACTCCTTTGATGCATAAAATACCAATTGTTACAAGTTTTTTTTATGAGATAATCATCTATACACTGTTATTCGTAATTAATCATATCTTTTAAATTATTTTATTTAATTAAATAAGTAAATGATATGATATTATTAAAAGTTATGATTAATTGTTAATGTAAAAAAAATTTATACTGGCAGTGTATAAGTTATTAACTTTTTTTTTATTTGTAAGTTTTCTCGTTTTTTTTTAACTGGTTATGGTTAGGGGCATGGAGTTAGGAATTAGGGATAGAGAAAGGGGTGTCAATGTCTGAGCCCAATTAATACATTCCTTGTTCTTATAAAACAAGATAATATACCATTGAGTTCTGGTTCGCCTACTTCATGTTTGTCATTTTATTATCCCATTGTTATTAATAATAATAAAATAAAATAAAACTCAAATCAATCGCATAGTCAATACCAGAGTTTAAGGCCTTATCGTAAGGAATTTGAAGAATCAAGAATAGCACACTGTCAAGACTGAGTTACCGTTTCTTTTGATAGTTACTTTATTTATAGTGAGGACGTTTTGAAATTTTTTTGACGACAACTTCGTACTCGAATACAATTATGAATGTCGTACGTTATCAACGTGCTAATGCAAAAAATTGAGGTCTTATTTAAACTACAATATACCCGTTATAATAGAATAGAAAGTAACAACATATCTTAGAATTTAATTTTATTTCATCTCCCATTATCTTTAGTTATTATTATTTTGTTAATCCTTGAGCTAATTCGTTCATATAATACATATATTGGTTGTTACTTGACTTCAACTTATTTTAATGATTATCACCATTTAAGAGACCTTTGTAGACTTATTTATTTATGGAAAAGTCTATAAACTTTGACGGTTTGACCGTAGTGGCTTTATCAACCCGCTCCCTTCTATGAGACGTGCATGTCATCTAATAATAGTTTTATCAGCCTTGTTACTCTTCTTTTGAATGTGGTTATATATTAAGTTAATTGCTTTGTTATTTCATTTCCCTATCCATTTTAATGCATAAATCGTGTAAAGGGTGAGAAAAATTATAAAGATTAAAACATATTTTTTCTTTGAGAAATAAGAAGCATGGAGAAATTTGCTGACATGTTCAGAGTCTAAAAGTAGGGGTAAACTATGGTATGTAGATCATGACCGATAGAAAATTGTGTCGTTCCTTGATCTAAATACGAATTAAAATAAGCAGAGTGTGAACTAGGAAAAGTTCTTTGGCTCAATTCTAACAATCGATTATCGCTTTGCAATAGCTTCATATAGTGTTCGTCAAGAACTCCGGGAGGAAATTGAAGATAATGCCTCCTGAATAAGAAAGTTCGTCAGCAACAGAGATTAGGATAAAAAGGAAAAAAATAAGAGAGATGGAAAATGATATTATGTAGACACAATTAAGTTGAATGAAAGTCTAATTTGTTAAAATCAATTCATGTTAAATTAAGTTTCAACTTTTGTTTTATGAGAAAATTACCTTAAAAAATGTTTATTGTGTATATTTAAACTTTTAAAAAAAAATATAGAATCTAAACAAATTAATTATTTTGAGATGTTTCTGATAGCTTTCTAAAACAAATTGGAATTATAACTAATGTTGAAACAAAAAGTATTCTATTATAGTAGTAGAAAAAAAAAGTAACTCCTGTTTTACATAAAATCTCTAAACATGTTCTTAAAATCATTTTTTCAACTTTGAACAACTGGACCAAATTTGTGAGCAAATGATAAAAAACTTTATTCGACATCAAAGTAAAAAAGAAGAAAAATATGCACCGGTATTGTGAAGCTTGACCATCGGTGAAGTCATGAGATATAGTCCACATAGTGTGTTTTTTAGGCTTTGGCTCAATCTCGCGAAAGAACGATGGTACTTTGTCTAGCTGCAGGTGAGATGATTTTATTAGTTTCTCAACATAAAAGATGCACTAATTATAAGGAGTTCATCATCGTTCTAAATAAACTATTTTCAAACACTTAAAACTGTTAGGTGAAGAAATATGTATCATTTTATTATCTGAATATGCTCCCTTTCCCTGAAGATTAGTTCATTTTTATATGTACTAAGTTTCAGATTTATTTACATAATAAAGAGTAGTAAGGATGGCTCTTGGTGAACAAGGTTGGATAATGTATATAAATCATCTCTTAGCAGATAAGGAGCCTAATAATTAATGACCTTTTGCTTATAATTTGAAACAGTTCCTCCCTGTTTATTAAATTACAATATATTATATTAAAGTAACTTAATATTCTTTTAGTGAGGATTCAAAACACTTTTTTAGAAAATCTTTTAAGTTCTCTTAAAAAATATCAAAAACTAAAATATTAAACGCATTTATTTTATTTTTAAATGAAACAAATTATTTTAATTTAAAATTAATTATACACATTTTAAAATTTATTTTTAATTTATAATTTTGACATTTCATCTTAATAGTTAATTATATATATATATATAGGTGTATATTATATTTCTTATAATTTTAAATATTTTAGTCTTCTAGATTTTACATTAATTCAATTAAAATAATCATAGAACAAACGAGATTGTTGACTGTTTTTAATAATAAACCAAAGAGCTTCTCCGGTGACTTGCGCATGAATCATATGATCGTTGGATTCATTATCCACTGAGCTTGCTTTCTGATTATTTTAACCTCTCTACCTTTTTCTGATGCATATTAATATTATCTACTTATTATTTACTTTTTTTATAATAAAAAAAACAAAGAGCTCAAGTGGCATTGCATTCCTCGGTTATCTTGCCCCACTTTCCAGTTTCCACCTTCATTTACTACTTACTTTGTCACAAATAATAAATAAAAATCAACTTATTATCAACGAATGATTATTATATTAATATATATTTAAATAAATGACCTATGTTCAGAAAATAATCTTTATGCATTTACTTCTAGAAAATTACTTTGTTTTTCCTCAAAATTGAAGTAAAAAAATTCATAAATGAATTTCTTAATAAAACGCGGATCCATATTATTTTTTCTAAAGAATAATCTTATACTTGGCACAGCTTTTCTTCTACCTAAAATAGTAACATACATAGAGAGAGCAAAGTACCTCAATTTCAAGAATTCCCGGTGAGTTTTCGTCGATAACAGCTCGAATGGCAGATATATTCTGGCATTGTATTTCAATTTTGTACTTCAAGCCATCATGTAATATCTCCCACATTAACTTTTGTCTTGCATAATAACACTTAGCTACCAACTCATATGGATATTTAGCCTCAATCTGCGCATATGATATTAAAATTGTGTAGTTAATAATTTAATCTAGTCTAGACTAATACTGACCTTTATATGAGCATTATTTTTCTCCTACCAATTAGAGAATTCTATTTAGTCTTCAAGATTATATATGTAAGTTAGGAAAACCCCATAACAAATTGTAATTTTCTTTATTTATAATACAGTTTAGGATTCACCATGAAACTTGTAAACTGTATTTCAAAAATTAGTTTGTGAGTGCCGTCCAATTATATATCCCAAGTGACTTTTGAAGCCAGGTCTAACTTAGATTGGAGGAAATAATAAGTGCTAAACTCGGTGGAATAACATTTCTTGTTTTAAAAAGAAAGTCAAGAGTGTTCATAGAAACGATTTCGTATCTGCATTCAACATTCAATATTTGACCTACTAGTAGTATATATTAATTATATTTTTGTACCTTAAAGTACCCGATCTTGAGCATACTCATTGGAAATTGCACAGCCTTCAATTTCTCAACCTTGTTAGCTGCAAGTTGAGATGAACTTGTTTGTTGCAGCATTTCTGGTGGCACAGTGAATTTTAAGCCCAGGGGTGGTGGAAGCTGGAAAACCTCTTTCAGAGCCTGTAAAACAACAAAAACACGTACAATTTAATGCATCGCAAATATGACTCTCTTTACAATTAAAAAGAAATAGGAAAATAGATTCACACAGTATATACTGCAATATGGTCTATATATTTGGAGGAATTGAATGTGTTCAGAAAAAGAATATAAGTGATTGTATAGCTATGCATAGTATGAACTAGCTAGGATATAGAAAAGAAAATATATATCCCGTTAGGCGTTAGCATATAGGTCGCATATATAACAAAAATAATAAATACCCTTTTATGTGAAGTTTGTGCATCATCATTATCTTCATCATGAAGGTACGAAAAATACAAAAACTGATTCTCTGAAGAATTAAAATTATATGAAGCCATAGAAGTCTCTTCGTAAGTCTGAGAGAATCCATGACAAAAGTTGTCATTAGATCCGGAACTATGCGCCATATAGATGCTGCAGAAGAGTCTGAGTTTTGTGGTTGTTTGAGGATTTGTGATATGGTGATGGCTATATATATTGTTTTATCGTGTGCGTTCTGTTCATATATTTTAATTAGTGTTTATCGTTGTTAAAGTCTGAAGAAAGTGGACTTATTAATTTAACTTATATTGAAGCTTCCTTTCGGTTTTCTTAAAATAGGCTGATTTGAGATATATTCAAGTTTGCCCCCGACTTCACTAGTTATAGCCTAAATTTGTACTCTAATTGATTCCTTTATTTATATTACATATATTTTTTTTTTAAATCTTTTATTCAAATTTTATCTATATTTAAGTTTTTTTAAATCAAAGTTATTTAAGTTTACGCATTTCATATGAATAAAAAAAATCCATTTTATGCTGTTTTTTCCTGTTATAAATTTATCCCTTATTTCTTAAACAAAAATTAAAAAACATACAACAAGTTTACTTCATTTCTATATCATATAGAACTAATATCGAGAGAAAAAAATTTGAATGATGATTTTTTTTAATATATGTAAGAAATGTATTTAATGAATATGGAACAATATTTAAATACAAATGATTTTATTTATAAAAATAAATATAACTTTGATAATAATGCATTTTTAATTACCTATATAAATAGGATTAAAATAATGGACAAAAACCAACTAAAAGGAGAAGAACACTATGAGAGAAAAAGTTATGATAGAATTATTTTACCCAATAACTTATAGTTTATATTAAATTTTAACAATCTAATTATTAAATTAAATTTTTTATTAAATAGATAAATTTACAAATTTTTAAAAATTAAAAACTATATAGTGTTTTATTATATAGATTTAAATTGATGTATTGTCATGAGTTAATTTAAATTAGTCACGTCATACTAAAATTCATTTAATTTCAATAGCGATTAATAACATTAATAACGTAACTTCCCTTTCATTATTTGTAAGCATATATTAATACTATTATTAGTGTAGATATATCGATAGAAAAATAGAAATAAGGGTTCCATCATTCTATGGGGATCGATGTGCTAGCGTGTTAGGAAATTCTATTTTTAAAAAGGTAAGAAATGAAAGGATATATGAATTTGAAAAACCATTCACTTTCAAAACTTGTTCAGCCTTATCAATACTACAAAGATCTATGGATGTGGAAGGCAAAATCCACGAGCAAGTATATAGTGAAATGAACCTATAAGCTAATTCAAAGTCACTTATGTCATCCACATTGGAAACTATACAATAACCTTTGGTGTGTAGGTGTATGCCCCCTCAAAAAAGTGAAACCATTTACTTAAGATTACTCTATACTAATATAAGAGTATTACTCTATCTTTCTTCATTATATTAAAATATATAATATAGATCATTTAATTTAATATTATTAATATAAATTATATTTTCTTCATCTAAAAAATAAATATTATATTATCTATCATTTATATATTAAAATATTAAATAAATTATACTTTTATTTCTTAGAAATACAAGTACCATATTATTATTATTCTATTATATTATTATATTAAATTAACATCACTAGAGAATAATCATTATAAGATTTTAAAAGATATTTTTAATTTAATTATTCATTAATAAAATAATTATAATTAAAGTTTCATCAAATAATCTAAGTAATTAATTTTTTTATTTAATGAAAATGTGTATTATTGACATAAAATTTTAGTTATGATTGAAAAATAGTAGCTGTAGTAACAAATATTGCTTCTAAATTTTATTCTCTTTACATACCAATTTTTTTTATTATAAATTTTTTATAATAAATTATACATACATGAAAGAGGAATACAAGAAAATTATATGATAATAAAAAGTTGTGAAAAAAAAATGTGAAATAATAAAGATATATATATATATATATATATATATGTGTACTATCTAATTATATTATAAATATTATCTACGAAAAATAACTTATTATAAATTTACATGATATTATAGACATATAAAATAAAATGGTTCAATGGTTTAACTCCTTAAGCTTAAGGATTACATGTACTGTGTCCTGGGTTCAAATCCTATCAGAATAGAGTTAAGCACTTCCTTACGTAATCAAGGTAAAAAAAACCCTATAAATAGTAGTTCGCAGCAACGGAAGAGAACGAAGAAGAGCAAGAAATAGTACCCCTATAGCAGCAACGGAAGAGAACGAAGAAGAGAAAGAAATAGTACCCCTATAAATAGTAGTTCGAAGCAGCAACGGAAGAGAACGAAAAAGAGAAAGAAATAGTACGTGAAAAAAAGAAGAGAGAACGAGAGAGAATAAAATCCTGACAAGTGTGCATTTCAAGGTAAGGGGGAGGAGAACTTTATCTCTTTAATTTTATATACTTCTATGTTTATTTATTTTTATCTAGTGAGGTGCCTCTAACCTCATTTATTTGCTTAATCTATAATTGTTTTATCTATAATAATTATTAATATGTTCATATTTTATATTGTTTAATTATTTTATAATAATTATCATTGTCATTTAATTAATTGGTGCTCTTAATATATTTTATTTAAGTATATGTTATTTAATTAAAGCCTAAATAATGATAAATTCTCAAATTTATTTAGCGTGATTGTTGTTATGATTGATTATAATATAATTTTGTTAAAATGTCTTTGACTTGTTTTAAAGATAAAAATTATTCTATGGCCATAGAAGATAAAATTTGAATTATTTGTAGCTGGAGGTTTGACCTTGGGATTTAAATGAGTAAGAAGTTATGATTAAAAATTCTTGCACTGGTTGATATTATAATGCTCATTTATCCTGACTAGTCACTGCAAGTGTAATTCAAATTTTATATATATTGTTTAATATTAACTATTGTTACGCATGCTTTATGATTATAAATATTTCTTTGAAAAGTGTTCTCACTCCTTATGTTTCTTATGTAACATAATAATTAAATAAATAGAGATGGATGTTCCAGCGATCCCCGCTCCTTTTCCTTCAGTCATTTCTGCAGTATTTTCTGGGACTACGTGGAGTGTTGATGCGGTAGCAAACGCAGTCACATTTAATAGAGTAGCAGTGTCGAGTTTTACTTTCTCTCCAAACCAAGAAGTCCCTACCGTGATCGACGGCCCCATAATAGTCACTTTCTTTTTACCGCCCGCTAACCATGTGAACCCCATCGTAAATTTGTTCCAACCACCCATGTAATTATTATAGAAGTAGAAAAAGAAAAATATGATATGTAGATAGGCACGAAATAATCTGTATGTAAGAAAAACAACTACGCGCGTAGTGAAAAATATTTATAGTATGGTATGATGTACAATATTATTATTATATATGTGTTTTCTGGCTACAAATATTATATATATGTGGATATTACTGAGATTAATATTAATACGATTAGGCGTTACATTTTAATGGTATCAGAGCAACGTTCCATGTGTAACTTGGGGGAAATGTGCTAACCATGTTTCTAGTATAATAAACTAATCTATAAAATTTCAGATGGCAGGAAGAAGAAATACAGAACTGACTGAGGCTGTGCAAGCTATTAAGGAAATGGTCGCAGCCTTATTAAGAAATCAACGACCGGAAGGAATGGGGGAGTCACAAGGACTAGTAGAATTTAGAAGAAATAAACCTTCCCAATTTGACGGAGGATATAATCCTGAAAAGGCTGAATTATGGATTAAAGAAATAGAAAAAATATTTCGAGCCATGAACTGTCCTGATAACCAAAAAGTGAACTATGCAGTATTTATGTTAGTAAGAGAAGCAGAATATTGGTGGGATAGTACTAGGAGACTATTAGAAGGAGGAGGAATAATCATTACATGGGAAGTATTTAGAACCAAATTTTTTGAAAAATATTTTCCTAATGATGTTAGGAGGGCTAAAGAAATAGAATTTATGCAGTTAAAACAAGGGAACATGACAGTGGGAGAATATGCTTCTAAGTTTGAGGAATTGGAAAAATACTCTATTTTCTTTTATCACCCTGATGAGAGAATGAAGTGTATTAAATTTGAAGATGGACTTAGATCAGAATTAAGAAAGGCAGTAGGAATATTAGAAATCTCTGATTTTCCTACATTAATACATAAGTGTCGATTCCTGAAAGGTTTTGATCATAATAAGGACAATATACCAAAATCCTTTGGCCCTCAGTTTAATAAGAAAAGGAATAATGAAGGAAAACCTTATGATCTACCTCAATGGAAACCCCAATCTTCTCAATTTTCAGGAAATTCCAGTAGACCCATGAATAATCAAGCTAGGTGTCTTAAGTGTGGACAGGGTCATTATACGAAAGACTGTCATCTCAAAGGACCTGTTTGTTTCAAGTGTGGAAAGCCGGGTCATGTATTTTCGGAGTGTGGACAACCAAAGGCGCACGCGAATACCTCCGGAACCAAACCGAGACTTCCTACAACTGGGAGAGTTTATACCATGATTGGAACTGAAGCTGCTCAAAACAACGAACTAATACAAGGTAAATGTTTCATTAAAGGCAAAACTTTAAATGTACTGTATGATTCAGGTGCAACTCATTCTTTTATCTCCAATGATTGTGTTCAAAACCTCCAATTACCAATTTCTTCTTTAGAGAATAATCTAATTGTTTCAACCCCTACAAACAAATATGTAATTGTCAATAAAGTTTGTTCAGACTGTCCTATTTTTATTAGTAATAGAAAATTTCTTGTAAATTTAATATGTTTACCTTTATCACAATTAGATGTGATTTTAGGTATGGACTGATTATCTTCCAATCATGTCCTTCTCAATTGTGCAGAAAGGTCTGTAATGTTTTCTGATTCTAAGGATCTATTGATTTCATTATCCAAACCAATAAGCAAGTTTTCTTGGGGTAAAGTTCAAGGATATTTAATCTTATCCTCTATGGAAGCTAAAGAGGAAGTCAACTTGAAAAACATAGCTGTTGTTCAAAATTTTCCTGAAGTTTTTCCTAATGATATTCCTGGTTTGCCACCTGACAGAGAGATTGAATTTTCGATTGATTTAATACCTGGAACTGGACCAATTTCAATGGCACCTTATAGGATGTCACCTTCTGAATTAGCAGAGTTGAAGAAACAATTAGAAGAGTTGCTTGAAAAACAATTTATACGCCCTAGTGTATCACCTTGGGGGGCTCCTGTTTTGTTAGTTAAAAAGAAAGATGGAAGCTTTAGGCTGTGTGTGGACTATCGGCAATTAAATAAGTTTACCATAAAGAATAAATACCCTCTTCCTAGGATAGATGATTTGATGGATCAATTGAGAGGAGCCACTGTGTTTTCTAAGATAGATTTAAGATCAGGATACCATCAAATCAAAGTGAAAGCAGAAGACATACAGAAAACTGCATTTAGAACAAGGTATGGTCATTATGAATATCAAGTAATGCCTTTTGGAGTAACCAATGCACCTGCAGTGTTCATGGATTATATGAATAGGATTTTTCGTCCGTATTTAGACCATTTTGTGGTGGTCTTTACAGATGATATCCTCATATATTCTCGAACGCATGAAGAGCATGAAGAACACCTTCAAACTGTTCTTCAAATCCTAAAAGATAAACAATTGTATGCCAAACTTTCTAAGTGTGAATTTTGGTTAGAGGAGGTTAAGTTTTTAGGACATGTAATTTCTAAAGATGGTGTGTCTGTGGATCCATCTAAAGTAGAAGCAATTCTACTATGGGAACCTCCAAAGACAGTAACAGAAATCCGTAGTTTTTTGGGTTTGGCAGGATATTAGAGGAGATTCATTGAGGGATTTTCTAAAATAGCTATGTCTTTAACTCAACTAACTAAGAAAGGACAACCCTTTGAGTGGACAGAAAAATGTGAGAATAGTTTTCAAGAGCTTAGGAAAAGATTAACCACTACACCAGTCTTAGCCTTACCCAATCCTAATGGACAATTTGTCATATTTTGTGATGCCTCAAAAATGGGATTAGGGTGTGTTCTTATGCAAGATAGAAGAGTAGTAGCATATGCTTCTAGACAATTGAGAGCTCATGAAAAGAATTACCCAACCCATGATCTAGAACTAGCTGCCATTGTTTTTGCACTAAAGATATAGAGACATTACGTGTATGGTGGTAAGTTTGATGTTTTTAGTGATCATAAGAGTTTAAAATATTAGTTTGATCAAAAGGAACTGAATATGAGACAAAGAAGGTGGATGGAATTTTTAAAAGATTATGATTTTGAATTACACTACCATCCAGGGAAAGCCAATGTAGTGGCTGATGCACTGAGTAGAAAATCTTTACATATCTCTTCATTAATGATTCATGAGATGAATTTGATAGAAAAATTTAGAGATATGAATTTATCAACTACAGTAAGTCAGGATAGGCTACAATTACATGCGGTTCGAATTACTAGTGACTTACATGGACAAATTGGTGAGGCTCAGGTAGTTGATAAGTTCATTCAAAAGAAAAAGAGATTGTTGGGACAAAAGGGTGGTGAAAAGTTTAATATAGATCAAAAGGGAGTTTTGAGATTTAGTGATAGATAAAAATTAGGTGAAGATAAAAATATGGCTTAAATATGTTTTTAGTCCCTCAAATTTAAGATAAATTTATTTTTGGTCTCTCAAATTTAAAACTGTTGTTTTTCGTTCCTGTAATTTTAAAAAATCTTGTTTTAGTCCCTTAAGTCACTAATAACATAATTGAAAGTGACTAATTAAGATAGTTATGCAATATCAACTGGATTTAATATGATATTTTCACTAATAGGGACATAAATCATATGCTGATTGCTTCGGATTTGTCTTTCCTGAACTTTAATCCCTTTGTGCTATTTGAATCTTACGAGATTGAGTGTTTCAAAGAGGCTAATTGACTCTCTGTATTCTTCTGCATGTTGTGATTAGCAATATTGCGGACAATTTTGGCTGTGGAGTGTGGAGTGTGGAGTGTGGAGTGTGGAGTGTGGACCATAATTTAAGGTCAATCCTATGTATTTTCTGATGCAGTTTGGGAAGCCTCAAAAACTGCAATATGGGGCTCAAGGTTTTAAAAAGTAGTCTGTGACAACAATTGCAGCCTTATCATCAAGGATTTTGGGGTCTTTGTGACCGCATGATTGTATTTGTAATTGTCTCCAAATTTTCGTAATATCGAGGATCACAACAAAACTGCAATGTGACTGCAACCGCAACATAAAACCTTGATTGCACTGCATGTGCAGTTGTAGACAATTTAAAACCAATTGCGTGTATTGCATGTTATGTTTTAATGTCCTTTTTGTGACATCTAACATCTGTTTTTCAAAAATATATTTGTGTTTTTCTCAATAATAATTTTCTGGTTTTAGCAAGCTTGGCAAATTGACTTCAAATATGTACTTTGTACTTTGTAGTATCTAGCTTCCTGACATTACCATAGTTTATTTGAGCTAGAACATGGGCTTGGTTATTGATATGATTTTTTTAATGGGTATATTGGTTTGGCAGAGACTAGTTCAGCATCAGCCTACACAGTATCCAACATCAGAGGAGTTGAGTATTGGAAGGATCAAGTTTAAGGCTTTTGATCTTGGGGGTCACCAGATTGCGCGAAGAGTCTGGAAAGATTACTATGCTAAGGTATTTTTCTCTTTCTCTCCCTCTCCTAATACAAACACATTTGAAAACATATCATTAGATGGAACTTGGCCACGATTCCCACGAATAGATGTTTGGAATATAGGATTAAATCTTAATGTCCAATCTGATATAGTTTTGGTCTACGTGCTAATATTAATGTGTGGTGATCAGTGATCATGCAGCAATTGCAGATATAAAGCTGCACTAGAAGTTTGACCGGAATATGTTAATTTGTTGTTCTAGCTGTTAACAAGGATAAAGTTTTGTTTTCCTACACTCATTACTGGAATTGCATTGTTATTAATTTGTTAAAAATACTATCGTGGTGTGGAAGATTTTAATATATTAGACTAATATCTATGTTATTTTGACTAGAACTTAGTTAAAGGATTGATTGATGCCTTCATAATCCCAGCTAAATGGTCATTGTTTATCTGATTCATGGGAGGCAGAAATAATACATGGTAATTCGCTGATAGCACCCTTTCTCATCAGAGGGTTGCTAATAGTATTTTATCAGACATATATGCTGTTGTTACAAATTTTTTTCTATTGAGTGTCTCGTTGAACATAATATATACTTAAATTAAGGGATATCCGGATACTCATGCTTCCATATTTCTGTCTGCTACTAGTATACCTCTAGAAAAACTGATTCTCTGAAAAGATCAAGCATTCTCAGAAATTGGTTTCTTTTTTGTTGGTTTTTAATTGTTGCTTGCATTATTAATGAACTATTCTCAAGCATTAAGCATTTCTTGACTTTGGCACGTGCAAGTGGATACATGACTTTCTAAATTGTTATAAATATTTAAACTGATGACTTATTCTCTGGCTTTAGATATACTATTATTTATTCGCCCATGCTGGAGAATCTAGAGTAAGCTTCATCTTTCTTTAATGCAGGTAGATGCAGTGGTCTACTTGGTTGATGCATATGACAAAGAAAGATTTGCCGAGTCTAAAAAAGAGTTGGATGCTCTTCTCTCTGATGAGTCTTTGACTACTGTCCCTTTTCTTATCCTCGGAAACAAGATAGATATTCCATATGCCGCCTCAGAAGAAGAGTTGCGTTATCATCTGGGCCTGACCAATTTCACCACAGGCAAGGGCAGTGTAAATTTGTCAGACTCTAATGTCCGTGCTATGGAGGTTTTCATGTGCAGTATTGTGAAGAAAATGGGTTATGGAGATGGTTTCAAATGGCTCTCTCAATACATCAAATAGTCCATGTAATAAGTAAGAGATGGCTTGGAATCCTGTTTCTAGAAGCCTTTTCCTATAGTTGTGCTATAGAGATGTTCTTAGTACAAATTGCTGTTAAACATATTTTGTTCTTAGTACAAAGAAATTGTTGTTAAAGCCTAAAGGAAAATGACACTTCTTTCACTGATTCATTATATGCCGTGCAAATTTAGTTATTTCTGGTCGTTGTTTATCTTTTTTTCCGGAAGGGAAACGGACGGCTATAATATATATACTTAAAGACTCTTGTCCTTGCATCCATGCTAGGAAAACAAAGTTTCTTGCAGGCTGTTGGCTGAGTTTGCTAGACATCATCAAATCAATCACATGAAACAATATTTCACCTCTATTTTGTGAACATTAGCATCTCCTCCCTCACGTAAATCTGAAATCGTCACCATTATTCACCATTGTGTTGTAGTCAGCAAAACCTTGCGATGTAGCTAGTTGCTAGGCAGAACTGCGGGCTCTACAATGTTTAGGTATCCCATTAGCTATAAGATTCTCAACCTATCAAATAGTAATCAACGGAACTAGGATGTCAATTAAACTAGGATATTAGTAATCAACGAAAAACAACTAATGACATGGCTGAAAATTACCTATCAAATACTCCTTTCATTTTCTTCACGTAGAAATTTTTGATTCAAAGTCTTTTTCTCGATCCTCAAGTATATTCAATAATCTTTATATTATCTTATAACGGTCAGATGTTTCTTTTTATCATGATTGCAACGAAATGTTGATTAGATCAAATACTTATCCGTCTTGTAGATTGTTATTCAATATTCTTATTGAACTAATAATTGTCAATATTTTGATTTAGTCTAGTATTATTCTATAAATATGATTGACAACATCTTAGTTATGAAACTTTGTTGGTACACTTCAAGTATTGTTTATTAATTCTTTAAATTTTACTTTTTTAAATTAACATACCTTTTCACTCATCAATTGTAGTTATTATTAGTACTTTGAAATATTCAAAACACATGTGAGATTATAAAATGCTTCAATAGGTGAAAGAGTGATTAGCACTATCCTTTTGACTTTAGTTTTTCAATAATTTGTTATCTGATTTTATTACATGTTTATAAAATAAATAAAAATTAGGTGAAGATAAAAATATGGCTTAAATATGTTTTTAGTCCCTCAAATTTAAGATAAATTTATTTTTGGTCTCTCAAATTTAAAACTGTTGTTTTTCGTTCCTGTAATTTTAAAAAATCTTGTTTTAGTCCCTTAAGTCACTAATAACATAATTGAAAGTGACTAATTAAGATAGTTATGCAATATCAACTGGATTTAATATGATATTTTCACTAATAGGGACACGAATAGGTAAATTTTATGCAATAATGGTAGCAAACGCAGTCACATTTAATGGAGTAGCAGTGTCGATATTTACTTTCTCTCCAAACCAAGAAGTCTCTACCGTGATCGACGGCCCCATAATAGTCACTTTCTTTTTACCGCCCGCTAACCATGTGAACCCCATCGTAAATTTGTTCCAACCACCCATGTAATTATTATAGAAGTAGAAAAAGAAAAATATAATATGTAGATAGGCACGAAATAATCTGTATGTAAGAAAAGCAACTACGCGTGTAGTGAAAAATATTTATAGTATGGTATGATGTATAATATTATTATTATATATGTGTTTTCTGGCTACAAATATTATATATATATGGATATTACTGAGATTAATATTAATATGATTAGGCGTTACATATATAATATAAATTAATTTATATATATAAGTATTAAATTTTTGTAATAATTATATTTTATTTAATAAATTTTTAATATAAATATATTAATTTTAAAAAATTATATGTTTAATATACATATTTTTGCATTATATTAATTAAATATAATAAACAAAATTTTATCACAAAACATTGGTTTATTTAGATATTATTAAACTGTTGTATAAGTAACATTAATTAAATAATACCTTAATATTTATATATCACCTTTAATGTATATAATTAATACTATATAATAAAAATATTATTTTATTTAAATATTTATAAAAATATTTCATTAACTACATCGATTTAATATCTTAAAACTTTTATTTGATTTAATTTTAATTATATAAATATATTGTTCTTATTTTGACAGACAACTTTAAAAATATTTTGTAAAGATAATAATGAAAAATAATTTTTAAGATATATAGTTAATTTTAGAAAAAAAATATTATAATTTTATAATAATAACTAAATATATAAATCAAGAGATAAATAATTAAAATGTAATATATTTAAATTTGTTAAAAAAGAGTGGTATAATTTTACTTTTTTTAAAAAAGAATATTAGTGTAAAGAGTGTTTTAATCATAACTTTTTTTATATAACAAAAGTTAATGAAATTTTAATAGAAAATTTAAGAAATAGATAAAGTGTCATATATTATAATTTGTGAAAAGAGAATTATAATTTTTAACATAAAAAAATGCAATATTTATATCTATTCGATGGGAGTATAATTTACTCTTTACTTAATTACTTGGAAGGTAATGATCGATAGAATTCCATCTGAACCAATCTCCATAGTCCCAAAGGATCATCTTGCAAATGTCACAAAAAAAAAAAAAATCAACAAATCATTTATTTTCCCGGCGTAAGTTTTCATATATACGGTATTTGGCAAAGGCGTGGTTAGGTGCATAATGCATACCATGCGAGTAAAGATATTTTCTGGTCACATTTAGGGATATGACCAATAAGACAAACCAGTTTGAGATTTGAAATTTGTATGGATGCGTGTAATATAGTCAAAACAAATGCACAAAAACGAAGTGTGCTTTAATCTTTACAACTGAACACATATGGTTGTGAAAATGATAAAGGTGAGAAGCAAGTTATGAATCAGAGCTAGGGCAAAAAATACTTCCATAGTATGAGTGGTGTTCTAATTCATTTCTAGCTATAATTCCATCTTGTAGTATTTCTTGAACACACAAGGATGATATAATGGAAGGTAGCTCGTAATCCAAAATTTAATATATTCTATTTATCTATAAAAAAATATAGTTACACATAAAATTAATGATCAATAATATATTTTTTTTAAGTTAAACAATTTTCTAAAAAGTCACACAACTTAGAGATTTAATCAATAATTCATAATAAGACACACTGATCAACATTTATTTTTCTTACTTCTTAATAAAAAATAATTTTTAAATTAGATATATGTCATACACATATACACAACATATCAAATAAGATGAGTACTTTAACGAGAGGGTGAAATTGATAAATTTAAATTATATAACCATGATTAGGATTAAAATTTATATAATAATTACATAAATGCTTAAAAATCCAATAAGCATATTGAAGTGTTAAACTATACCTTTAAATTTTGATAGAATTTTTTTTAAGATTAGATTAATTTAAGATAATTTTTAAGTAAAAACTTCTCACCGTATGTATTTATATTAAGTATTTCGGATTTAAATGCATTTTATTCTATAATTTACTTCAATCTTAGTTTTTATATTTTAAAAATAACTTTTGCTTTTAGTTTTTTTTTTTTATACACCTACTATTTATATCAAATTTGAATGATTGTTCTTGAACATAAAACACCTTTTATTATATTTTCTTTTTGAATGTCTAATCTTATCATTATTTAACATTTATGCTTATATTTTCTTTTTCATCTCAAATCTTAGCTACTAATACTCTTAAATCATTTTTTTTTTCAAATTTGAAAATAACTTTTTTTCTTTTTTTACTTCTTAAATTTAAGTTACTTGTTTTTTTAATTTAAATTAATTATACATATTTATATTGTAATTTTAAATATTTTATTTTCTAAATTCAATTACTTAAATTGAAAAATATTTTATATCGTAGGAAATATTTACTAATTATATCAAAGCTTGTTTAATTTTTTTCTACGATTTTTTTTATATAAGGAGGAAGATAAGTAATAGGAATAGGTAAAAGGCCAGTGAGTTATCCAATGTAATCGATCCATTACTTGTTCTTACAAGCCAACATGTTAATACCCCATTGAGGCAAGATAATTCTAGAAAAGTCAAACGAATTCAACATATAAAGTATTATTAAATGAAGACTTAAAGTGGTAAATAACAAGAGTTTAGTCTTATCAAATCATATAGAACTGGTTAATGATTACATGACTTCATTAAAAAATGCCCTACATATATAACTTTCCGACTTGATTCAGAAAAAGCACATGCTACACTGCTACTATTGCTGCACATGACTCCCAGTTTGACGACGGCTATTGAATGATGCTTCGAGATTTTGTGACGTAACAAGAGGTAGGAAATCTTTGTCCATGCTCACGCGTATCTATATTTTCCTATTATATACTTTCTTTAATTTATTCTTGTGTTACATAGGCAATTCAACTGGATAAGAATAATATCCCAAAACAAAGACGTGACGTACTCATTCCATTTTCTTAATTGACAGTTATTAAAGCCGTCATTTGAACCTGAAAGTGACACTATACTTCATCACATGATCCATTATGGTTGGAAAATATAAATATTAAACTATAGTTATTTGAATTTACTGAGTTGATATTTATAATTAAGCTAAGAACATGCCCAATAGTTTTAACCAGAAGTAATATATAGACATAAGACATGCATTTTGTTTCTTACTCTAGCTAGAATAAAACTTTGATGACTAACCCTAACGTTTTCAAGCCACATGTGTCTGCAGTCGATATGTCAATAAATTGCGGTTTTGGATTATAGTGATGTAGCAGAGCTGAAATGATTTTCACTTGCAAGTAATGATTGGGGACTATGACGGCTTTGTTGTAATGTTTGAATTACATTTGAAACTAGGAAAAGTGACTAATGTTGAGGACGAAATGAAACTACCCTCATTGAATAGTGGACTAGTGGGGAGTGGAGACCCACCATAAGATTATTGAGAGGTCATAGGGTTTCAATGCATGAACCTGAATTATTAGTGCAAAGCAATAAAAGGACAATCATATGTAATGTATGCACAGTTAAGGGCACGCACGCATTATAATATTAGTAAGAATCTACGTGTGAGATTGTGTTGGTGAATTTCTGCTCACAAAACCAGAAAAAGCCATCCACGTGTTAGGTGTGAGATTCTATTCTACATATGATCTGGTTGAGAAGCAATAGTAATTTAGGAAACCTTGATCTAGCTATGGTTCATTAATAAGACATTTTCATACGTGGATCCCACCTTTCATACGTTTCTTTATATTTTGAAGAAAAACGCATGTGACTTTTTTCATGTAGCTAGAAAATCTAATGTCACCTTCTCAAATTGTCATTGTCCTATCTGGAAGCCTTCACATATTGCGATCTCATGCTACCGTGGGAGTAGATAGAGATAACAAAGAAAAGGTTGCAAGTTCGTTGTCATATTTTCTAATTTATTTCAACTCCTCCATCACATAGATTATAAAATAATTAGCACAAAAGTTTGTGATTACTCTTCTAGAAAAGAAGAATATTTTGGGCATGTGATATATATTCTCAAGTTTATTTAAGATTTAATAATTTCCCTGTCTATGACAGAGGAAGAAAGCATAGATATGAATGAATTAAAACACATTGATCTCTTGGTTCTTAACTATTTTTATGAAGAAAAAGTGTAAGGAACCTATTCGTAATTATCATCGTCACTACTTTTCACGGAACAGAGTTTGGCCAAACATAACATCGAAAGTCTGCCCGACTCTAACTTAAGTGGCCACTAAAATTAATAAAGATTAAAAAAAAATGAATTCATTAGAGAATAAATGTTTGTATAAGGTGATCCTGTATTTGATATGATCTTTCATTAATAATAGTAATTAAATATATATTTTAAAAATATTATATCATTACATTTGACAACTATCAATAGAGGACCACCAATGATCCAATAATCCTTAAATAAGTAAAGGTGTATTCGGATATGTTCACTGATTTAAACTTTTGGGATAATTTTATTTTTAGATAGAGCAAAATTTATTATGTGATGGGAGAACAATGCGTATACCCCTACCCCTTTACATAAAGATGTAGTTCTCGGTTTTTAATAAGATAGCCAAATAAAAGGAATTTCCACCACTCACAATAAGACATTGATGCTTTTTTAAGTTTAGTTTTGATCTATTGCCAACTTCTAATAAATATGATTGTTATATATATTTCTAGTTTTTTTTTCCTTCAAGTTTTGGGATAATTAATTTATGAACAATCTAAAGTTTTCATTAACTATGGTGTTAAAAGTCACATTTTCATGATACCAAAAGTCTATATATTTTCAATTTAGTCTTTCTTCATTTATATATAATTACCTAATAGTTTTTTCATTTCATTGTCCTTTATATACTAAGTAAATACGAACATTTTTATGCTAATTACAAATATAGACCTATTTAGATGTATTAATTATTAATTTTCTTCCATATTCCTAATTTATTGTGAAGTATATTAATGAGTCATTCACTTATTTTAGGCGAGTGTAAGCATTAATTGAGTTATTAATCACACACATTTATCATTTTAATAATAATAGATAATGTGTTTCATTTAGTATAAACTAACATTTGTATTTGTTATGTTTAGGACTTGGACAATTGATGATGATGATGATCCTCACTTTTGTAGGATGAACTAATATTAGAGTAAGGAGAGACAGTGAGCGGGAGAAGACAAAGCTTGGCTTCTTCGTATGGATAGGGTTCATTGTTTTGTTGTAAAAATAAATGCAACATTATGTAAAAGTAAGAATGATGTATTCTATTTGATTTCATTGTTTAATATTAAAAAAAGTGTATTTAGGCCTAATTTAATTTCGTAAATTTAATTTATTAGGTAAGATTATTTCTTATTTTTATATATTATTATCATCATTTCATTTATTAATATAAATTATAAAGTGATAATTGTTTTTTGTTTATATATATTATTATTAAAATTGTTAAAATGAACTGACTCAATTAGTTGGACCTAACTCATAGCAATCTATTTTTTAAATGAGTTGACTCAACCTAATCTATCAATTTTAATGTTTTAATTTTTTTAACTTGATCTAACCTATTATAGGTTAGTGGACTAAATGGGCTGGCCTACTAATCAACCTAATTTTTTTTAAAAAATATAATATAACATAACATCTAATTTAAAATAAAAATTGTCAAATTAAGTATCATGCATATAATATTAAACTTCATTAAGAAATTATACACCTTTAAATAATAAAGACAAAAAAAAATATTATCATCATAATAGTTATCCATTAGTATCAAATTTCATTGGAGGTTCAAATAGATAAATTTATAACAATTTCATGTTATTTACCATCAACTTTATCTTTTTTTACAAAAAAAAAATTGACACCTTATTAAAATAATACATATATAACAAAATGATTAACTAAGCCATTAGTGAGTTTGGTTGATGAGAGATGTAAGAGGGTTAAGTGGACAACTTGACCTACCACGGGTGGATCAGGTCAAAAGTAGGTCGAGTTGAATTTTTGGATCAATTAGGAGTTTTTTCTTTTTTATTTTTCTATCTTGATCTGACCTATTTTCAAGTTGGGTCGGGTTGGCCCATGGACTAAAATTCATTTTAACAACTCTTATTATGATCTTCTCATTAGTTAGTGTGAAATAATCCAATACACCTTCTCACATCAAGGATTAAACATTCATTAATGACTCAATAACTATCTGATAACCTGGTGAATCATTGGAGATCAATGTACTTTAAATGACATAAATCAATCTAACAAGTTAAATAGATTTTATCTAAATTAGTAAATTTGATCTAGACTTGAAAACCACTAATTTGAAATTATACAGAAACATTATACTCTATTATATATTTTTTTCTATTTACATGATTTTTCAAGTTTTTGATAAAAATTATTTCATTTATCTTTTTTCTTATATAAGTCCAACAATAATCAATACTCATTAGCATATACTTTGATATCATTTTAAGAAAATGAATTTGGACTTAACTCAATCTTATAAAATTAACTTATAAGGTGAATGTTGTTCTCTATTTACATAGTTTATCATGAGCATCTCACTTATTGATGTAGAATCTCCAACATTTAACTTTAATTTTCTTCCTTCCCAAATTTAAAGTGCATTGAAATAATTTTTTTATTTAGATTATAAATTAATAATTGTTTTATCTTTATAAATCTTATCTTAATTATTAATTTTTAAGACTATATATTTAAAATAAAGATATGAGTTTGCGCGACGAATACAAAACTTCGATAAGACTTTGTATTTGGTTTTCTTGTACTAAATGAACAAAAATGTCCAAAATAAAATTTTAAAAATCAAATTAAAATGATTAATGCAAGTGTTAATCAGTATCAAAGCATATCTTAGTTGTGATACATTCACAAATGCACAAGATAAATGGTCTCATATTTAGAAGTGACAAAACAGATGCTTATCCTCATATTTAGGAGGGGCAAAACCAATCAGCATGACTCATTTTGACCTGTTTATTAAAAATAAATCCACTTACTAAAAGTGGGTGGAAAATCTTATCCTATTTCACCAAAAATGAAAAAAAAAATTCAAATTGACAAGTTTAAATTTTTTTTATAATAGACAAATTTAATTAAATGATTCATATAATAATTTTGTCTTTCAACTATAATTTAAAGTAAACATAAACAAAACTATAATGTTATGAAATGATAAAAATAAAAATCACTCTTCGTTTTCAACTTCATTTTCAACTTCAAGAACATTAGATGTACGTTTAGAAGAAGTCTTCCCCACATTCATGAGAGTGAGAATTTGGGATTAAGTTTAAGAACCTTAGCTTCTAGTACGCACACGTACAATAAGTTATAAAATAAATTAAAAATATTTGAAAATCAAATCAACTGACAAGGCAACCTACCTTAGCCATTTAACCCTACGAGTTGGAAGGCTATGTGAGATGGATTGACATGTGAGTTGCGACCCACTTTTTCACCCTTATTCATACTAATAAAAACTCGTAAAATACACTTACTTGTGATTCATAATAATAATATTATACAAGTGATGTCAATTTCAATCACATGCATGAACATCTTGATATTAAACTCCTCATAAATTTATTTTTATCATTACTCAAAAAAAATTCATACCAATAAAAATACTTTATACTCATAAATTCATATTTTTTTCTCATGATCTAATAAATAACGTAAACATGTTTTTTTACCTCAACACTTGCTATTTATATGTTGATATAAAGTGTTCACAATTTTTATTAGATATTAATGTTTTCACATAATAAAATTTGCTTATTAGAATGTCAATCTTAAAATTTATGAATATGACCCGACACATCAAAATTAATAATTTTTTTTTAAAATATAATTAATGAATCTAACTCAATAGTTATAAATCACATTTTATATTTTTTTCCATCATCATTTTCTGAAATTGAAAGATGAAATGCAATATTATAACAACTCATTCCATCATTTCCTGAGTCTATCTTTTTCCATTATATCATTTATGACAACTTAAAAATTCTTCTTCTTTTTTTTTCTTTTTTATTTATCTTAGCTGTACAATTTATTCTACAAATAACAAGATTAAGTTTAAATTCTTCCGTTAAATAATCTTTATTCGGAACTAGTTGACTCCCATCAAATAATTATCTTTTTTATCAATTAAATTAGAAAGAAAATAAATAATGTCATTAGGAAGAAGAAAGGAGGATTAATATAAAATAATGTCTACCTATCTCACTTAAATACAAATGTTGATTATAAGTAGAAAAATGATACACTTGTTACCTTTTTATGGTAGTGTTCTCACAGAAGTTTCCTAACATTAACATACCCTCATTTTTTCGATGAAAAACATTGGCTAAAAAACTTACACTTGTAGCGAAAAAATTTCACAAATGAGTTGAACTGAATTCATCTATAAAAATTGGTGAATCTGTTTTTTTTATAGTATTTGATAAAATAACCGGATCATACCCAAACCAAGACAAGCTGAGCAGTGAGGACAAGTAGAATCTGACACCATAATGATCTGATCAAACTAGATGAATGAACTCTTCCAATCCGAAAGAGGCACTGACCTTCATTAATTTGTAAATGCTCAAAGATGAACAGGTTGTTCATTCGTTGCTTTAGAACCGCTGGGAGTATTCCAAAGTATTTTCTGTACCTGTAGTTGAACAAAGAAAGCAACGAGTGTCAGGTGCCTGGATATTTAGCTATCAATGTTAGATAGCATATTAAGCCACTAACACTAATTATAGTAATTATTTTCACGTAAATATCTTCCCAAAGCAACTGGGGAGCTTGTAGTTGTAATCATCCTATGCACCAAAAGTAAATCGATTGTTTTCTTTATAAGATATGTAAATCAAATAAGGGAACCGTTATGTTTTATATTAGAATTTAACAATTGATTCGAAATTTTATAATTTACCTATTTGTCCATTGAAAAACTTGTTTAGCTTGCATATCAATTAGAAAGACACTCCTAATAAAATACATTTTTTGCTGTAAATTAAAAAAAAAAAAATTTAACAGCACACCACAAACTTTAGTTTACAAACTTCTTTCACCGTCTTTTATTGCTCACCTACTAACTATCAACTTAACCAAAAACATGTAACCAAAATAAAGACCATTATCATTAACAACTTAATAATAAGGTTTAATGGTATGTCCTCTTGGTGTAAAATTCTTTTATACCTATTATATAAAAGTTTTTACATTGTGATTAATCAAAAACTATTATTGTTATGACTTTTTAGGATTTATTTGATTTAAATAAGAAGAGGAGAGAAAAGAGATTTTAATAAAGGAGAAGAAAAAGGAAGGGAAGAGCTTAAAAATTCTATTTAATTGAGAAGAGAGGAGGGGAGGGATGGGATTTTATGGGAAGGAAGAGATAACTTTTTTCTTATTTGGATTATAAGAGATTTTAAAAATTATTTACTATTGTATTTTTATAATTTTAAATTTAAAAACACAAATAAGATATTTTAGACATTATTTAAAAAATAAAAATAATGTATTAAAACCCATCTCTTTTGCTTCCCTCCTAAAAATTGAATCAAATAAGAAAATTTTATAAAAATTATTTCCTTAGTTATTGTGAAAGTTAATAAACTACCACAAATAATAATTTGAGATTGAATGATAGTATAAACTATCGGTGTATAGTCTTTTTCCCGTAATAATATGTAATAATTGATATGTACTTTCACAACAATGGGGTTAATAAAGGACTCGTTCATTATAACATGGTATAAGCCTAAAAAATTTATGAAAACAGTCAAAAGTTACTTTAAAACATAAAACCAGCAGGTTTTTTAATTTTGAAGGTTTTTTTTAGCTAGAAATTTTTTTACCCAGAACAATTTAATTGCTTTAGGGCAAGTGGATAATGTTGTAAAACTAAATGCTAATTAGAGATTAAAAAAAAATAGACTAGGCCTATGGCCTAGCATACTTATGATTAGACCAATTTTTAAAAAAAGAATAGGTCTAAGACAAGACTTTTATTAAAAGTCTACTTAAAAAGCTTGTGTTTTAGGCAATTTAGAAAACCTATTCAGACTAGCAGACCACCTTATTTACCATATCTCTTCTATCAACCTTCACAAGTTCAAAGATCAAAATCAGTTTCTCAACAGCAGACTTTGGCGAAGTTTCATAAATCAATTTCATCAATTGTAGGTATAGCAGCATTCACAATGACTGTGGCATACTACACAAAACTTATGTGCCAAGATTAGTGAAGTCCTACAAAGTGTCAATATAATATATTTACCAGATGGTGATCACTTCTGTTACAAAAGGCTCGTCGAAGTTGCGGTTCAAGTCTTGGAAATTGATAGAGGTGATTTGCCATAACCTTCTGATACTGCCGCAGGATCAGAGGACCTGGTTGCAGTTTCATCTGCCCCTTCCAAATTTATTTCACTGAAGCTTCTTTTCTTTGATGGAGTATTTGAATTTGCATTTTCATTTTCCTTCTGCTTCCCTTTACCTTTTTCTTTTCTGTTGTCAGCTTCCTTATCAGGTTGTGGTTCTCCATTTGGTAGTGGAAATAATGGAGGCTCCTGGCCACTCAATCGACAAAACACTCGCTCAACTGTTTCACTTATCTCCTTTCCCAGGCCACTATTGTCTAAAATTAAATCCCAAACTGATTTTGAGGCCTTCTCAAGTACAGAAGCTCTGTATGCAATAAAAATGGATATAAGAAAAAAGGGAGACAACCAGTGAACCAAAGATGTATATCAACATGTTTGAATGGAAAGATATACAGTGATAATCATTAAGATATAATCCAATTGTGAATAATGAGTTCTAACAATTCTTCCAGGACCTAAATATAGTATCTGAAAAAACACACAAGGAAATAGGCCTTCAGGATACAATTCTAAATCATGCCAGAAGGAACAAGTAAAAAAAATTTATGTAGTGGGTACTGCCAAATAGAAGTGCATTGACCAGAGAGGCTAGTTATAGAGTGTTTTAACATATCCAATTCCAAACACGGCTTCTACTTTCCTAACATGCAAAAACATTGTGGGGCAGGGCAAAAAAGATTAATAGCAGAGTAACCCCCAGCTGCAATCCTCTTGAGACATAAAAACCATGACTTTGGTTTGGTCTTCTAAAGAATTTCAACATTAATTTTGACCGTCAACAATGTAAAGCTATATCAAGTATGACCTTCAACAAAATTGACAGCAAATTAGTTTCTTAACCCCGCAATCTATACACAGATGATAGAATGATGATTTTGATGTAGATGCATTGTTCCTCTTTTGGTGGGTTTCAGATCTCATTTGTACATACCATTTTACACCAATATTCTGAGTGCCACAGTATAATCTTATGCACTGCTATCCTACATCAAATTGAAGATCTCTGCACAGAACCAAATTTGAGCCAAATAACTCATGGCAGAAATATAGGTGCATCTTATGCAAGAGGTAAAAAGCTTGCATAGAGATAAGTTGGATCTCATGCAAAGATTCCAAAATGCGACTACAAATCTACAAGTCCTTTGGACTTTCTGGAAGGTGGCCTAGAGGATGAAAAGGTTATAGATTGGAATTTGGAAGTTTGGTGATTGGTACTTTACTCCAATCTGTGATGTTGAAACTGGATAGTAAAACCACTGAGAAGATGAAACTTAGGCTTTCAAGTTGCAGTGCTACCTCTAAAAACACATATTTTAATCCTTCAATGGTCATTCAACAAGTTACCAGATAAGTGGAATATGTTATGTTAGATTAAGTGTGGAAAGTTACTGATCTTTGAGAAGATTTATGCTGTGGATGATTCTGTGACTAAGCAATAAATTTGAAATCTTAATAATATTCCAAAATGATCACACCAGATTTATAGGGTTTCGACTCTTACATTCAAAACTATTCCACTGTTTAATTGTTACAGTAAACCACAAAATACAAGCAAATGGATCTTGTATGCAATAAAACTTGGGAGAGTAAGTTGAGAGTAGGGACAGAATTTCAACATCTTCAAATATTTGTTCTATTCTAGTCCAGCAAAACATAATTCATCCATCCCTTCTGTGAACCACAAATTGGCATGCAGGTACCAATTCATGGTACTGGTTCTCACTAATTCACAGATTGGTTGGGTGTGAGGCAGCTGCAGAGTACTAAAAATAGGGTCCAACCAATAAAGTAAAAATAAATAGTTTTAAAAATCAATTAGATAAGAGAGATGGAGAAAAAGAGTAAATAAATCAAAAGAAGGAAGGGGAGAAAGGGGAAGCTAGTTGTGGCTTTACAAATCCACAAAAATTGAAATTGAATCAAATTTGAATTTTGAAAAGTTTAAATCGATATAATATCGGCATTAATTAAGGAAAGCTTTTTCAGGTTTTAACAATTATTACTTACAGGGAATAAAATTTTAAATTTGTTTACCAACTACATAAATGAACTAATCACCTGTAGAGATAGGAGGAATAACACTCCATAATAAATGACGTGTGAAAAAATTGTTGAAAAGTATCTCAAAAATGAATAATATACATGTGTGTATATATAAAATTAAATATTTTAAGTTAGTTTTGAATTAATAATATTTTATATTTTACATTATGCAGTTTATAATTTATAATGCGCCAATTAATATATTGAAATGTATTGTGATTTGTGAAACCTAGCAGCCAACCTATGTGTACCCGCCTCCACGTAACAATACATGGAAAGGTGGCAGTGCCAAATTCTAGCACCCATACCCCACATCGGAGGAGAGTATTGCCAACCTGGTAACTGTGTTCTATTCTGTGGGACAGAAGCTATACCCAAGAACTTGGGAGTGGGTTATCTTTTCAAGTCAAAGGAGACTTCTGCAGGAGATATACATAATCATATGTAGCATAAGTCACGCCAGTGCGGCAATGTTACTGTGGCAGTTTTAAATTTATCTATTATCTATCTCTTTTAGTTTCATTTGGATCATGACAGGACTTATCCTCAGTACACATTTGACTTATGTTCTATATAAGCAGGGTTCAATGGCTTTAAGCATGTAACAGCATACAGATTACAGAACATTTTGGCGAATAGCTCACAGAAGAGATTTTAGTTAATACAAGAGCTTTCTTCTACTCTAAGCAGAAAAAAAAAAAAAAAAAAAAAAAAAAAAAAAAAAAAAGTAACCGTATAACTTACTCAAGTTCTTGGCGAAGCGCATCGAAGAGCTCTCTTTTGGTCTGTTTCTCAGCACCAGGGGTGTTCAGAACCTTACTCTGCTCAGCCATCTTTATCGTAGTACTCTTCAATTCCTCCTGCAAAAAGCCACAAACCGGTGAGAGTAAAGTTCAAATAAAATTGAAGAAAACTAGACACATAAAACCGTTGAACAGGAATTATTTGAGAACTCGAAATTAAATAAAAAGGAAGGGCGGAAACTACATTGGCTTTGAGCTGGTTGATGATCTTCAATCTTAGGGCATCAATTGTGCCGTCGTTCATCAGCGACTCCAGCACATCTTCAGGAGTGATTATCGAGGAAGAAGCCATGCGCAATTGTCCACGTCAAAGCAAAAATGTGGAAGGATTTCGGTCTTCGGATGAATAGTTGAGGGCGGACAAATGTCGATTTTGAAAACGCGAGAATTGGCGGTCGTATTGTCTGAATTGGAGACCGGAAATCTGAAAACCCTAATACGATGAAAGAAAGAAGAAGACGGTAGCGGAGACCTGTCACTCAGCCCCCGTCTCCTGATCTATATAGTTATTTCTTTGTATTGTTTTGTTTTTGTTTTTTTTTAAGTTAATCTATATCTATACACTTTTTTTTTTTACATGAATTTATATCTATGTACTCTGCTGGTATAAAAGTTTAGGTGACTTGAAAAAAAAAAACATTATATCTATATACTTGCTTTATACATCTATATATATATATATATATATATATAACATGAG